TGCAAAGGCTGGGGGTCCTCAAAGGCCTGTGGGTGTGCAAAGGCTGGGGGTCCTCAAAGGCCTGTGGGTGTGCAAAGGCTGGGGGTCCTCAAAGGCCTGTGGGTGTGCAAAGGCTGGGGGTCCTCAAAGGCCTGTGGGTGTGCAAAGGCTGGGGGTCCTCAAAGGCCTGTGGGTGTGCAAAGGCTGGGGGTCCTCAAAGGCCTGTGGGTGTGCAAAGGCTGGGGGTCCTCAGAGGGCTGGCGCTCTGGTTTCGCAGTAAAGCTGTTCATCCTTCCATGATCACAGGCAGCTCCCAGTGGGGGGGACGGGCTGCGTTTCCAGGGGAGCTCCAGGGCCCTGTGCAGCTCCCAGCCAGGCCAGAAGGTGCCTTTTCAATCAGAACAGCACAGCCACGGTCACAGAGCGGGATTCATGTTCCTTACAGTGACAGCTGGTCCCCAACGTTCTCTTTCTGCCCCTCACAGCCCAGCCCCGCAGGCCCACCGCGCTCCTGGGGCACGGGCGCGGACGGAGCCGGGGTGTGCGTGGGTGAAAGGCAGGGCTTGTCTCTTGCAGGCCTGTGCCACCCGGAGTGTGGGGACAAGGGCTGCGACGGCCCCGGGGCCGATCAGTGCCTCAGCTGCGTGCACTTCAGCCTGGGCAACGCCAAGACCGGCAGGTAAGGGCGGGGAACCCACGCACCACCCACAGGAACTGGCTTTGCTGTGTTTTGTTAATCCTCCCCTGAGGGTATTTTTCCATTGATTTTTAGAGCGAGTGGAAGGGAGGGGGGAGAGAGAAACACATCGATTGGTTGCCTCCCAAATGCACCCCGACCGGGACCGGGAATCAAACCTGAGGCCCTTCGGTGCTTGGACCAATGCTCTAACCACTGAGCACACAGGTCAGGGCAAAGGGGGTCTGTTTTGAGCTGTGTTCTCAGCCCCTCCACACACACACACCCGGCACCCTACTTAAAAATTCTAGTGAAAAAGAAAATGTATAAGGGAAAAAATCCATGTAAAAAAAAACAAAACACCAAAAATCTATGCTAATAATAGGGTTATATGCAAATTGGTCGGGACCCTCATGTGTCACGGCCAATCAGCAGGCTGCGTGTGCTGCAGGCACAGGTGGGCGGGGACTTCCAGCATCTTGGACCGGGGCGGGGCACGGCGGAGGCCTCTCCACGCACCTGTGCCACGGGCCCACAGCCCTCCGCCCTACCTGTTCATCGAGGAGCCCCGGATGGGTGGGCGGGGCCTACCTCTTTGGGGCGATGGATCGCGGGGCTCCCGCACTGTGGCAGGGCACCAGGCTGGAGGACAACCCCCCCCCTGAGTGCACGAATTTTGTGCACCGGGCCACTAGTTTAAAAAGAATCCTGGTGATGCCTGGACAGTGTGGCTCAGTGGTTGAGCATCGACCTATGAACCGGGAGGTCCCGGTTTGATCCCCACTCAGGGCACATGCCCGGGTTGCGGGCTCCATCCCCATCCAGCAGGGGGCGTGCAGGAGGCAGCCGATCCATGATTCTCTCTCCTCATTGGTCTTTCTCTCTCTCTCCCCCTCTCCCTTCCTCTCAAATCAGTAAAAATGTATTATTTAGAAGAACAGGGAGGACAACGGGCATGAACGGTTTAACCTTTCCCCCGGGGCCTTCGTTTCCTGGGGGGCTGGGGGTTTGGGGGGGCAGCTGAGGTCCCTGCCGCTCGGGCCCTTCCTGGGCCGGGCCTTGGCCGTGGGACTTGGGCTGCGGGTGGTGAGCGTGGGCGTGGCTGAGGGAGGAGGTGCCCTCTGCTCT